GAAACACGCTCAGGGGCCCAGACGTGCAGCACCCCCGAAAAATCAGGGCGATTTGTTTTTGCTGTCCCAATTTGCGGCCTCCGGTGGCCCTCACGGGGGCCCGGGACTGTCGTTCGACTCGCCACCCTCCGAGCCTCTGGGTATCCCGGGATGGGGTCGGAGTTTAGACGGGGTCGGAGGATCGCGCCGCATCGCCGATGCACCGCCGATGCGGCTCGATGCGGAGCCATATTTCCTTCACGTCGACGTCGCCGATGCATCGTCCACGTCGACGATGCATCGCAGGTGCATCGCCGATGCATCGCCGATGCATCGCCGATGTATCGGCGATGCGGCGATCCCCCGACCTCATCAGCTCCGACTCCATTTTGGAGGCCTCTAAAACCACCCAAACCCAACCCGAATGCCCCGATTTGCCCTCCATTCCAAGTGGGGGGGTGCACCCAGGAGCGTTGAAATCACATGTGAAACCCGTCCCCCCACCACCCCCACCCGAAAATTGGGTCTTGGGGTTAACGGTTATGTTGGGTCGGTCTGGTAGGTCATGAATGATTCGGGATGAAAAACTGGCCTTGGGGAAGGGGTCGGGACTTCGGGGGACCCCCCACGGACAAAAATCTGGACATCGCGCGGCCGCCCCCTGGCCGCCCGCCTGAAGCTCGCAGCTCGCTACCCTTGCCTCGTTTTCGTCTTTGTGGGCCGGAGGCCCTCGTCGCCGTCGCTGGATGCGTCTCGAGATCTTGGTCAGGACGCACCCCGGGCGAGGTCCAGGGAGTAGCGGTATCGGTACCTTTGGGTTTCTCCAGTGGCTGCAAGGGCGGGCTAGACCCTCCAGGGAAGAAACAGTAAGGGCCACAGCCAAGATGTCGCGGGGTCTCGTCGGTGCTGATCCTGGTAATTAATCGTTTATGCCGGCCGTCCCCGATCTCGCGAGGATGATCCACGACTCGACGATGGCCACGATGGACGGTGACCAAGATCGACACCGACGTTTCTGCGTTCAGCCTTGATCATGCCCCTCCGCGCCTCCTTTCCTTTCTGCTGCCCCACTCCCCAGACACGGAGGGATGGCGAGGGGGGCGAGAGGGGGAATGGCAGGAGGAAGAGGAGGGGGAGGAGATGAGAAGGAGAGAGGAGGAGGAGGAGGAGGAGTAGGAAGGAGGGGCTCAAAGGAGGATGAGGAGAAGGAGGAGGAGAGGAGGAGGAAGGAGAAGGAAGACCAGGAAGAGGAGGGAGGGAGAGTAGGGAGGAGGAGGAGGAGGAGGAGGAGGAGGAGGAGGAGGGGAGGAGGACAGGAGGAGGATGACCAGGGCAACCCAGGATGAGTCAACGACGCTGCAATACACCCTCCCGTCTCAAGCCCCCTCGTCAGAAGCCCTTTAGAAGTGTGCGGGAAGCGCCCTCTTGCAGGGCGAACCTTTTATGGGCTTTTTATTCAGGCGAGAGCCCTTTTTCAACAGGAGCTGGCTAGAAGAGGCCCGTAGAGGGCGAGCATGCAGGCTTTCCAATGTCAGGGACGCCCTGTCCTGCACAAAGAGGCCAGCACTCCGTCGGTGTAACTCTTGCGCTTGGTCAGACGTTGCGAGGAAGGCCGAAGCGAGAGCCCAAGTTTGGAGATGAGCTCCATCTGTCTAGCTGTTGTGCAAGGTTGCAAGTCTGGCCACCTGTTGCCAGGGCATCTACAGACTGGTCCTCCTTTTGCAGGAGGAGTCGTACTCCATCCTTGTACTTTTTATTTGTGAATGCAATTGGTTTTAGGGTTTTTGCAAATGGTCGCAGCCACGCAGATGGCGTGCGTAGCGACGCCCCAAATGCTCGGTCTCCAGTACTTCTCCGTGGCGGCGCCCCCGCAGGCACGCAGAGGGCACGCGTGGCGACGGGGGCGTCGCCATGCAGAGCTTCTAAAGACCAAACATTTTGAAAACCAATTGTTTCCACCACTAAAGTAGCCGCGGGAAGCTTTCACGACGAGACGAGAGGCACGCAACGCGGCGCGCCCTCGATCCTTGCAGCACTCAGAAGCTGCCGCGGCACGTGTGAGCCGTGCGACGACGAGGCTTCCATTCCGACAACGATCCGCCCCCCGTCCGTGTGGCTGTTGGACGTTGGGCGATCTCGGATCGGATGTGCGCGGCGCGGGGGCGGGAGCCACGCGTTGGCAGCAGTTCGCCCTGCAGCCTTACTTGCACCCACCTGAAACCTTAAGCACACACATCGTTCATGGGCTCCAGATTTCGTTCAAGACACTCAAGGATCTGGACTGGACCCTGGGCGTTTCCTTTGAGCTCCTGCTCTTCCTGGACTCTTCGTAGATCTTGACCTGGACCACTGTTTGAGAACACGCTTGGAGCGAAGGCGCCTTTTCTGAGCGTAGAGACTTCCTAACTCGGAGCAGGGGTGTACGCATGGTCGGTGCGCACGCTTTACAGGGCGAAAGCCCACGGCGCCGAAGCGAGAGCCCCAGTCCCGAACACGATTCGCGCTCCACCCGTGAAGGGGCTGAACATATTCAATGCCTCGGGGCCAGCAGGGCGCGAGCCGCCTGTTGCGCCGATGATGCTGATGCTGACGATGCTGATGCTGATGCTGATGCTGATGATGCTGATGATGCTGCTGCTGATGATGATGTCGACGCTGATGATGCTGACGATGATGATATGATGATGATGTTGATGATGATGCTGATGCTGATGATGCTGACGATGACGATGATGATGATGATGCTGATGATGATGATGATGATGATGGTGGTGATGCTGGTGGTGGCGATGATGATGTCGCTGATTATGATGATGCTGAGGAGAAGGAGGGGGAGGAGGATGCTGATGATGGTGATGCCAGTGATGATGAGGATGATGCTGATCATCATGATGATGATGTTGATGATGCTGCCGATGCTGATGATGCTGATGATGCTGCTGATGATGATGAGGATGTCGATGATGCTGCTGATGATGTTGATGATGATGATGATGATGATGCTGATGATGCTGATGATGCTGTTGCTGCTGCTGATGATGATGACGATGACGATGATGATGATGCTGATGATGATGATGATGAAGATCATGATGGTCCTGATTATGATGCTGATGCTGATGATGCTCATGATGCTGCTGCTGATGATGATGATGGTGTCGAAGACGATGCTGATGATGATGATCATGATGATCATGATGATGCTGATGATGATGCTG